TTCTCAGTAGCAATATCCTGTAGAGAATTTCTTGCGCTATCTGATGGTATAATTGCCGTTTCACCATTGCTTGATAAACCCTCTTTTTTCAAGATTTTTTCAAGCATGTGAAAAGAGCACTTCGGACGATTTTTTTCTTCGACTATAAATTGGGGCAATCCGCAATCGAAACAGCTCAACAAATTAACCAGGTGTGGGGCCCAATAGTGCTAGAGAAAGCACTGTGCGGCAATGGCTCAACAAATTTCGTTCTGGAGATTTCAGCCTTGAAGATGAACCTCATAGCGGTTGACTAAAAGCAATATCTGACGAGGATTTTAGGGGGATTTTGGAGGCTGACCCATCCCAAACAGTTTGAGAGATAGCAGAAGAGCTAGGCCTTGGCAAATCCACTGTTGCAGATGGTCTGGAACGCATTGGGAAGGTGAAAAAAACTCGACAATCTGGGTGGACGCCGACACAATCGGAATGACGCGGCAGGACTCGCATCGAGGTTCCTTCTGCATTGCTTTTGCGCAGCAGAATTGACCCGTTTTTGAACCGAATTGTCACCTGTGATGAAAAATGGGTCATGTATGATAACAGGAGACGTTCTGGACAGTGGTTGGATTCCGACGAACCACCGAGGTAATTTTCAAAGCCGAACCCTCACGAAAAAAAAGATTCTGGTCACAGCTTGGTGGTCATCGGCTGGTGTGATCCACTATAACTTTTTATCACCAGGCCAAACCATCACAGCAGAACGCGGCTACTGTGAAGAAACGGCGAACGAATTGTTACCGAAATATTGTGCAGATCAGCCCCAACACCTTATCAAAGAGAAGGGTGCCGATTGCCTTTGCATGCGACAGACGCCGGCCGACTTACGTTTCACAAATCACTATCCATAAATTGAACGAATTGGGGGTTGAAGTTCTACCTCAACCGCCATATTCTTCAGACCTTTCGCCAATCGACTATCACCTTTTCTAACATTTTCAGAACTCCCTTGCTGGAAAATACTTCATCAATCAGGACCAGGCAAAAAAGCCTTAGTGGATTTCGTGAATTTTCGACCACCCAGTTTTTTTACTTTGATGGGATTTCTCGACTGCTGTCACATTGGCAAAAGTGTGCTGATTCGAATGGTGCCTATTTCGATTAAATCCGATGAGTATTAAAAAAGTTACGATCGTTTAAAGTGAAACACCCAAAACGCTGAGAACTTTCCGGACAACCTAATATTTTTTCTGACAGCTGAAATTGGGCAGCTGATTGGGTGCTAACTCCGCTGGCCCCACCCGTCTGACCGCTGGACGGCAGTTTTCGTGAGAAACCGAAAATTTTTTGGGAAATTAGGAAAAATGGAAGTTTAAAAAATGTAGGAAGCTGTAGGTTGGAGGAAGGGCGTATTTCGCAACAATTTTCCCCAACAACATGAACATGAACTGCCCTGATGCAATGGTAGCGCGTCGATGCGCTTCATCGTGCACTCTGAACGTACCTTAGAATCGGCCCATACATCATTTAGCTACTCGCAACCTAGTTTCCTGACGAAATATGCCGCAGGCTACTTGAAAAATTTTCGGGTACTATCACGGTAAGAGGACGCAGACAAGATGACGTTGCACAGCAACGCTGCCGCGTCACGCTTTCTTGTCTACGTCTTCTCCAAGTACTTTTCTCCCCTAAAAACTAAATGTTTCCAAAATTCAGCCCCTATGAGTTCTAAGCGAACCCCACGGCATTTTCCTTTCCGTGAAAAAAAAACCCGATTTCTTTTCGACGCTCTTGGTTTTTCTTTGTCATCAACATACCTTAACTGTCAGGCGGATATTCGGTATCAACTCATCCGTCTTGTTCACAACGTACATGGTCCCGTCGACAGGGCACGGTCGTCGGCATGTTACACATCGTATGTAGTCAAGAAATGACGAAGTTGTCATGCTTGAAATAGAGCGGTTCCACTTTCACTACATAAATTTCAAGGCGCTACTTTAGTTGATTGGGCACAACGAATGGATCCCTCTCTCCATCAGGCCAACACTTGGCTCCCAAGACCAAGTCACGCGCAGAATCTGGTCGAACACAGACAGTCCGATTCCGGCCAGATTCCACTCATGAACGTTTTGAGGAGTGACGTGGAACGGATTTCGTCACGTGGCTTGTATCAACTACAGTAGAAGCCAAATTCAAAAGCCCTCAAGGCAGTGGTCACGATGACTGGGGGCGGGCGGTCGCCACCAACCTCACTGATGGAAGCGCTGCGAGCCTGGAAGGTTAGAGAAGGCGTTCGGCCACGCCCACTCCGCTCTTCCACTAATGACGCAGCAACGGTCCGCCCCGACCAATTGCACCCGCAGCCTCTAATCCATACGAATACCAAACTGACCGTCTCAAATTTTTGATACAATTCGTGCAGACTGTATGCGCACATGGAAACACAACCCATACATCTTCCATCGGTGCATAACAACATGGACAATCGCGAACGACCACACCATTTTGAGATTCTCTTCAAAAAAAATTCGGAATATGAGGTTCTCCTGGTCTCAACACTTGCAATTCCCTTACTGTAGCAATGTGTTCAGGTAACGAAGAGCACTAACTGCTCCAGATGCGAGTTCAGCAGTCAGCTTCTCCGCCTCTGTGAACGCAGTTATAGCCAACTGAAAGTGCAAAATTTCATAACGTACTTGTTATAGACAATTCTCACAACTGAGTGGTCCGTGACAAGTCTCCGCGCAGCCAATTCCGCACTTGCAGAAAGTATATCTTTCTCGTGACACGAACGTTCGAGATAAAGCAGACACAGATGCGCGACTTGTTACTAAGCGTTTTCAGGCTACAAGACAACGACTCACGCCGCTAGTTGCCGCGCCTGTTGCCCATACCGCCCTACGAAGGCTCTCTGTGCTCGTCGCAGAGAACAGTAATGTGTAGACTTCTGCGTTTTTGCGCCGCTTAAAGGCACGTTCCGCGATAAACTAAGGCTAGAACCTCATAAACGTGCATGATGATCAAGCAGGCAACAGTAGAGGATATGCTGCTTTTAAAAGTTGAAAAACAGCAAGCAGAACGCACGGCGCTCATGTTTTAGGCCCATTGGCGCCCGATAGGCCCATGCCGGCCTCCGGTGACCGTGTCGTTGTGACATTGCCATTGCGCTCTCTCGCCCGTCATTTTCTGGCCTCTCTCGTCTCTTATCAGTGTATCGCCGCCTTTTGCAATCCACAATTGATCTTGACCACCTTACGCTCGTCCGGTGATCATGATCAGTT